GAGACAGGCAGCTTTATAAATATCTCATCACTCCATCGTCACACAAATTTCATCGACAGTGCTCATGCACAGCTATTAGCAATATGAATCTAACCATTACAAGAGGAAAGAAAATCGAACATGTGGCATTAATACGCAGTCCTGGTTCCTAACCATCTGATAGGCAGATGGTGTAAAGCGGATTCTCCAGCTGAAATGAAGGGGCACATCATTTAAAACCTTGTTTGCATTCTAACTGATATCAGTGCCATATTGATATACATGATACATCATGGCAGTATTTGAACAATCTAGTTTGTTTCAGTCATAAATGTTTACAGCCTTGTTTTTTATCTTTAGAAGCATGTTCTGAAGAGCGTATTTTTAATTTATGAAACCTATTGTTTACTTCTGTTGAACCAGAAGATTAGTGAAGAGCAGGAATATTAAATTACCACAACCACAGCAGTATAACTAAGATGGATGAATAAAGTATGGTTTTTCAATAAAAGATGTTAGTAAAGGAATTAAAAAATTAGCCTAGACATTTTATGCATTAAATACATTTATTCATTTAAACCTTACAGCTTTTTTCCCATGTGACATACTTAGAACTTTAATGCTTTATAAAGCTATTCATTTAAATCTCTTACTGCGTGCAATTAATCTTGTCCAACAATTTAATTCAAAAAGCAAAACATCAGAAAGTAAAGTTCAATTCAACCATCACGCTCTGAAGTAATCTCCCAATTGCTGACAGTTCCTATAGACTCATCAGCAAAAGTCTGTTCAAGGTGTCTTGTAGGAGCCGTACGAATTTGAATTACAGCTCAATTGAAAGCTCTCCAAGCCTTAGTAGGAACTCAGGAACAAGAAGCAGAACACCAAAAGAAAGCGTGAATGATCCTTTCCTACAAAGACCTTCTCTCTTCTGTCACTAGATTACTTTGGCCTGTTGGGTGTGTTTGTAGCTGTTAATTATGTTAATAAAGTTGCAGCCTGCTGCCTCTGCCAAATGTAATCATAAGCTTTCTCCTGCCAAGTTCTAGTCTAATTTACACCCGTGCAACTCTACTGAAGTCAGAATTTCGGGGGTGAGAATGAGACCAGAAGTATGCCCAGTATGTGTGGTCTCTAATGCTGAAAAATGAGTGAATGAAATGGAAAACAATGACAAAAAACACAGCATCTTCAGAAAACAATTATGTTTTAAAAGTAAAACGTCTGAGAGAGCTGTCATGATAGATTTTCAAAATGTGTTCAAATTACTGGTGGGCACTAAATCACATCCAGGGTTTCTGCCTTCCAACAAATACTATCCCCTGCCTTACGAGACAGCATTCAAAACTTTCCGTTCTGATGGCAGCTTACAACACACCGTATTTGTGATGGAAAAAAGAAAAGGACTTATGAGTGTAACCTTTTCAGCCTCAAATATGTCTCAAAATACACATTTCTGAATTATATGCCTAAACTTGGTCCTGGGACAACTTGCAGAATTATTTAAGTAATTGATCTTAATTAGCTTTTAACTTCCTTCATCTATCTATGCCTAATAGTAATTATAATTCCTAATAGTTATTTCAATAAATAATGAATAGTTTCCTTAATACAACTATTATCTTCCTTTATATATATCATATA